GTCGGACCTGCTGTCGGCGTTTAGCGGCGACAGCATTCCTCGTGAAGCTTCGGGGTCGGCGGTCGCAAGTCCCAGTGAGATCGTAAGCGTCATGAACAAGATCGACGGCGAGAGCATGGAGGCAGCAAGAGGACGAGCCCGCCGACGCCCAAAGAGAGGGGGGGGGGGGGCAGAAAAGCGACGAGGCCACGCGACACGGGAGGGCGAGGAGGACGGAAGCAAGGCATGCCTTCACCACATCTCATTTTTGCACAGCCCAGGCGGCAAGCCTGAGCGCCTCCTCTGAAGCGCCTCGATGTAGGCCAAGCGTTGAACGGTGTTCATATGACAGCTGCCGCGACATATGACACCTTTGTCCTGTTAAAGTCAGCCCGATACCGTAGCCTCGGGAAACTGAAAAGTCCCTGGAGGTCGGGGGCGGATGAAAATGCTGCCTTGTTTTCCTTTATATTTGTACATTTATATATATATATACATATATATATACATATACTAAACAAAAAACGCGCGGCGCTGCTCAGCAATTGCTTTGGCCTCGCTCCCCGAGGGGGCTCAGGAAGATGGTAGTATTTCTCGACGGCGCGGGTCATGTTGGCGATGGTCGAGTTCGCTTTCGGGGGCGCGAGCACGCGGGCGACAATCTGTTCGTCGTCTCGGCTGGTATCGTTTAGCCAGTCACTCGCCTTCCAAAAAGCATCATATCGGATCGCAGATCGAAGATGTGCCGCTGGAGCGCGCGCTCTACCGTCCTGCGCCTCGCGCTCTAGTCCGATCTCTTTCGCGCGGTGCTGGGCGAGCGGGGCAAATGCGCACCTGGGGACGTTCGCGAGTCTCTGGAATCCCTCGCGCGCCTTGGCGTGCACATGTCTGCTCGGCTCGCAGCGCTGGGCGACGCGGGAAAGGGCGGGGAAGTCGACTGCGCTGTGGGCGGAGAGGGAGCGATTGAGGCCGAGCTTAGTTAAGGTTCTCGGTGCACGCGCATCTCTCGAACAACTTCTGGGCGGGGGCATGCCGGCCACTAAAGTACCCGTCGGGGCCAGCGACCGCGCCTAGGCGGAGACCGCCGGGCCCGAAACTAAACTTTTGGATATTCATCTTGGGGGCGATGTTTTTGAGCGCGCGAGTGGCGGTTTCCGTGTCGGGGACGCGCGACGTCTTGATGTGGCATTTCTCGAAATTCGAAATCAGGCCTGCCCACTGGGGGGCGAGCGCGAGCGCTTCCACGACAGCCGGCAACGCGGCCGCGAGGCCCCTGGCCACCGGAGCAATATCGTCTGCTAAACACGGCAGCAAAAACTAGGATGATTCTTGGTGCCTTTTAATTCTGACCGAGATGGGGTGTGAAATGATGGCAACGAGACACCACTCATGGGGCAACAGTATTTCACGCCTCTCGAAGCCAAAAACCGCGGCCCGAGGAACCGGGCAGAGGCGCCGTCGCCCAGATCCAGTCGTGCAGAGCTCGAATCGCGTAACGGATGCAAGCTGGAATGCCTAGCCTGTCGAGCACAGCCGCGATCCGGTCGTGGAAAACCTCGAATACCGCGGCACCGCTGTCCGTTAGCCCGTGCAGTTCGCCCTAGAATTGATAACGAGCGTCGAAATCCCACGAGGTCGTCGATCGACGAAATGCCCTTCACGAGCCCCCTCCAGGGGCAATCGGCGGCGTCGGCGGCCGCGGCGTGCAGCGGCGAAGCGACGACGGCCGACGGGGTGCCGTTGTCGGCGTTGCTCATGGACAGCGGCCCAGTGACGCTGGGGGGTCTTCTAGTCTCGGCCCCGCTACCCGCGAGATCCCTCGGGGGGGGGGTCATCTTGCAATAGTTGAACGTGGAGTCCAGCCAGTCACCTGTTACCAAAAAGGTATGAACAATATATGTGTATATAAAACCTCCAAGCCCAATGGCCCAGTCGCGGGGCCTGGGGCCGAGTTTTTTTATGCCGGATGATTCGAATGAGTTCGTCTTCAGTCAGTATCAAATTGTGGCATGCATGTGCGCCGCTAACAAGTTGGCCGCCGCTATTGAAAACGGCGAGAGGCAATTCAGCTGCGGGGGGCCCAGGGGCAGGTTCGCATCTGGGCGCGGGGCGTCAATGCAAATCTTGCCCCAATACTCAGCAATCAACTCGGCCGACCCATCTGGCTCGGCGGAGCGCCCCCCGCCGGGCGCCGCCGCAGCCGCAAGATGGATGCGAGGTCAGGTCTGTGCAAAAACGGCAGAGAGCCTGCGGATGCGCGCGCGGTGAGAATCCGTCTGGGCACTGCAATAGTCGGGGCCATTCCGGATCTCGTTTTTCCCCCCCGGCGAATGCAAAGAACCAACCGCATTGGCCCACGCCATCAGCTGCGCGTCGTAGAACTCCGGGGGGGGGGGGGGGGGAGAAACCAGATGGCCCGACGGGCAAATCTAAGCAGATCCCAGCGGTGGGCCTTCAAAAACTGGAGGCATTGGGCTGCGTTGGAAGGGTCGCATTTGGCCCGGAACTCTTCGACGCGATGCTTGACCTCCCTCGCAGCTGCATGCAAGAGGCCTGCGCTTCGAGCACTGCCGCGGGCGGGTCGGAGCTGAACTCGTTGGCCCCCCTCCACCCGCGAGCCGAAGCTGGCGCAAAATTGAGCGCGCTTAAACATCCAGTCGAGGATCGAAAGAAGAGGAACATCACACTTGTCATTCGTATCACCCTGAACACAAATAGGGCGGAGATAAAGGCGAAGCACTAGGTGAACTAGACTGTGATCAGATGGCACAATCGGTTCGGTAGCGTGTAAGTCGGCGGTGGAGATCGCGTTCTAAAGTCGAGGGCGATGGAGGTCGGTAGGCTCTTGGCAATTCTGTCGAATCGAACGAAGCTCGGCTGCGAGCGAACGCTGGCGTGACGAATGTAACGAGGGTGTTCGGATTCGAGGTAGGACGGGAGATGTCGAGTCGAAGTCCCTACCTGTCACTGAAGCCACCTAGGGGGGAAAACAAAAGAGGCGCGGCGAAGTGCCCGGGAGATAGATGCGCGCGTAGCGAGATACTGCCTTGGTGCGCGTCTCGCCCCAATCTGGCACTACACGCGGGCTCGCAATCTGGGGCCGCCCACGCAGGCCCCAGCGAGACACTGCAAGAACACGGCCTCCGACCGCTGGTACCTCGGAATGTCCTCCAAAGGGCTTGACGAGGGAGGACTTAATGATAATGGCCACACCTCCAGCACTCTCGGTCTCCGAGAAGGACCCACAGACATGAACCCCTGGGAATTCGCTGCGGAGAGTACCCAGATCCCCATGACACCCGTGGACTTCTTGTAGACACACGATAATATGTTTACATGCAGGCTGCCTCAGGATCACAAATGTGGGTTCGCACCGCTTCCCATGGGGAGTAGGCAGAATAACGCAAAGTTTGGCAACTCCACGAGCATATGCTCAGGACCTGGTCTGGAAGAAAAGGCTCAGACGTCGACGATGAGTCGAGCTCAGCTGCAGGCTCACCCCCACCTGCCACTGCATGAATCTTTCCTCGGAGAACTTCCTCATGTGGAGCCTGGGCGCCGCTGATGATCGCCTCAACCTGCTGCAGGGAGATCCCCCAGTCCGCGAGCTTGTCGCACACGGAACGACATTGAACTGGTCGAGATTGATGTGGTTCACCGTGATGAGGGTCCAGATGTCGTCGCCGTTCGAGGCGAAGAGCATACCCCTGAAGCCATTGACACCGAGCCTGCTCGCGTCGGTCCAGTTGGGGCTCTCGCCGACGAGCTCCTTCATGGGCCAGTGCAGCTTGGAAGCTGCGCTGCTTGTCCCTGACGTCGGACGGCGGGTCGCCGCGGGCATGGGGAAGGTACTGCTTGCCATTGCGCGGTTCGATCCATGTCATGGTCGTGGCCGCCACTTGGACCCGAATTTGTTTGGCCTTGTCCGTGGGCGGAAACAGGATAACGTATGACTGCGAAACACGATGGAACTCACCTGTCGAACCGGCGGCGATGGGACAGTTCTGCCATACCCGCTCGTAATGGCCCTTTGCAGATCTTGTCTACAACGGGTCTGGGCCACGTGCCAGTCCACACTTTATATGCATCCGATGGGGCCGAAAGACCACTCTCCGAAGACGATGCGCCAGTGGGTCTCAGCTTTGTGCGGTCAGGTGAAGCTGCCACAGACGAAGCTGCAGTCGATCGGGCGTCGGCACGTTCACCCGCACGAACTCGGACGTCAAGTTGTCTGAGGGCGCCTCCTGCTGAGCGTTGATCCTGGCTACCAGCTCGCCGTTCTGCCGATTGATCTGCTCTGAAATGGGGGCAACCTGCGATTTGTCCACCTCGGCAACTCTGGTGTTCATGGTGCTCACGAACTCGTTCATCAGGTCGCGCATGCTGCTCACGGTGAGCGGCGTGCTGTCCCCCGACTTGGCGCGGCGGGAGGATCGGGTGAGCCCTTGGGAGAAAAGGACAACATGCCCCGAAAGAAAAAATGTGCGCCAGGTCGCGAAAGCCAGGAATGCCTGCTGAATGCGGGCTGCCCACTCAAGTTGCCTTGAGCCAAAATGGCAACGGAGGCGAACAGGAGAAGGAGGAGGAGGAGGAGGATGAATTAAAGGAGGAGGGGGAGGAAGAGGAGCAGAGGAGCATTAGCGGCAGAAGATGTAAGATGGACTTCGCCATGGTTCGCCAGGGCCTCCGCACTCCATGCCATCCCCCCAACATCCCTCCTTCCCTGACCTTCCTGCCTCAACTCCTGGCCACAGCTCACTGGACACACTGACGTGAAACCCACCACTTCTGGTCTGATCGCGCGTCCTCTGGTTTAGAATGTTGTGGGACTGCACGCGCGATGAAGTTACAACCAACTGCTTCTTGTGACACTCGCGCATATGCGGCCCCTCAACCGGGTAACGCCGACTGACTGGCTTCAGGTTGCGACGCACTCCAGGGGCCTGGCAAGCTTTACATGCACACGCACGAACAACAAGCAACGAGCGGTCCGCCAGAACTCCCCTTGCTCCCAAGATGTCCTCTGATCCAGGCGGCGGCTGCTCCCAGCAACGGTTGAGGTCATAGCCCTTGGCATTCGCACGGCCGTTACCCAATGCCACGCCATCTGTAGATGTTTGATTCAGTAGGGCGACCTGCCACCATGGCTGGCCGGCCATCCTAGACAGACGGCGTGGGAAACTTAGCCTGACGAAGGGCCCAACTCGCTTGAGCTGCGTACAGCGCAGGGCGTGGCACTCTCATCGTAACACCTGCGCACTGTGAGAGGGAGTTTAGGGGTAGACATTGAAATTAAGGAATTGCCAAGCAGGTGTGCAGAGCCGCGCTGAGCTTCCTATGGAGCGTGCTCCGTGTGAGGGGTACTCCGAACTGGGGGAGGGACTGTACGCGGGCTCCTTCGCTGGTGCTGTAGAAGGAAAATCATGTGGGGGGGCGATACGTGTGAGGGGTGTGCCGAAATAGGCCGGGGACCGCATGCGAGGGCCCTCACTGGCGTCGTGGGTGGGGCCCTCACATTATGGGCCACGATCCGTGTGAGAGGGGGGTCGACATGGGCAGGGGAGCGCATGCGGACGCCTTCATTGGCGCCTTTTGGCAGAACACCCTCTGCGGCGCGACGTGTGTGAGGTTACGATGCGACGCGATGCGGCGCGCACTCTGGCCCCGAGGGGCGGTCCTCGAAGATGGCAGGCGCGTGGGACACACAATCCCTGACGCTGGAGAAGATACTACTGAACTCTGCTGGGTCGGAAAAAAAAACATGAGGCTGCTGCACGCTTGGCTCAGATCATGTCCCTTCTCACGAAGCCTTCCTCCATCGTGCTTTCACGGACCCTTCCTCCATTCGTGTGAGGTGTGTGTGTCACATTGCGCGGAGGGGCTGCATGCGGGCACCCTCGCTGGTGTCGTAGCTGGAGCCCCCTGAGGTGTATGGCGAAATGGGCGGAAAGGCTGCATCCGGACGCCCTCAATGTGACACGATCCGTGTACGGGGTTTGCCGAAATAGGCAGAGGGACCGCATTAGGGCGCCCTCTCGCTAGTGCCGCACATGGAGCCCTCTGTGGTGAGGGGTGCGAAAGGATTTGGCAGTGGATCGCCTGATAGAGACCGGAAGCGTGTGTGGTGTACCAGAATTGGCATGCGGACGGGGAGCAAAGACAGAGATTCGGACGAGGAGGAATGGGATGAGCTGGAGGGAAAAGGGAGTAAAGAGACGGACGGTGCTGCAGATTCAAGACGAGGACCCAACAACACAAAAGGGTTGATAACAAATGGAAGTCGTTGCCTTGGCATGGCCCTGTCCTGCCAAAGGATGATCATTGAAATTGGAACCCACTCCCTGTCCTCAGTGTGAAAATCACGAACACTGCACATAATGGGGACATCAGGGCAACGTGACAAATCATGTATGGGCGTCAACTAGGTAAACGTTCGCCTTCTTCGCTATCTTATACTACGTGGCATTTGGCACGGCACAATTGGCTCGGCTGGTTGAGCCTGGGCGTGGTGCGTCGGACAGGTACGTTCAGTGGTGGTGGACAATAAGACTCACATCTCACATGGAGCGCACCTGGGCGATCCTTGGACACCTACATAGTCGGCAAAACGGCAATACGACAGACACAGCAATTTTACACATCGGGCATTCGGACTCATACCCAGTCGCGCGCCCAAATTCCCCTCGGATTCACGACTGGATCCAAATCACGGACGCAAAATAACGGGACATGTTTACCACGAACTGGCTCCCGTGTGAATCGGCGTGGACATCAGGAAGCCAAGACAACGCACGAAATGCACCCAGGACCAAGAGGTCGGGCGGTGCAGGCAAACTGGTCGAGCAGCGGCGGGAAAGACACGCGCCCACACACAAACACACAAACACCCACACACGCACACACACACACATACGAACGCACTTGGAACAACAGTGTGGAAAGCTAACAGGACGAGGTCAAATACAGAACACACACACACACGCATAGCAACTGGTGAGTATTACTTTGGTCTGTATGATAGGATAGATGGGGCGCTGCAATCAAACGTGCGACACGTAAGCTATGAACCTGCGGAAATGGGGCTGGCTGGTAACATCGGAGCATGCAAAACAAAACCTGCGCTCCATGTGACCTTCGCAGGGGAAAGCTCGGCGGCAGATGGATTGATACTTGGGCACTCGGGAGAATACAAGGGAAATGCGACCTTTCCCAATTGTTTGCCCGCTCTCTGGAAACCGTTTTATCGCACAAATATTGTATCTTTCGGGAAACATAGTTTGCTACACCCAGCGGGGCCAGCCCGGTTTTGCTTCAGCCGGCTCCTGCCCGCCTTCCACCAGCTTCCCCCGAGAGATACTTGTGAACACCTCGGCCCACCGAATGGGAAGCCGTCTGTGGATCCAACCATGTACAAATTACTCATGTCACAAACATGGGGGACAGACCTTCGAGCCACCATCTGACGTCTTCGATTGCCTCCGCGCCCTGCGAGCGGAAAGCGGCCTCCAGTGGGGAATCAATGCGCCTGCCGAGAGGGGACGCCCCTCACTCGTGTCAGCTGCGGCAAAAGCGATCGGACCGTTCGAAAGTCGTGGGCAAGCAGTCCTGGACGCCCTCACTCCGAAGGCCACCTACTCGTGGCTGGAGCAAATGTGGCACCACATCCCCCTGCCATTGAGAAGGGCCTCTGTGGCCAGTTGCAATGGAGACGCGGCGCACGAGTGGGCGATAATCCATGTAAGCCTCACTCGGCTGCAATCCCACCAGCCCTCTGGGCGTCGGTTGTTTAGGGATTGTTTTCTTCCACCCCTCCTTCCCCTTCGGGGAAGGGTTTACCCCTCCCCCATACCCCCTCCCCTGGACCTGGAAAGGGGGGCCTCGCGAGGTGTCAGGGCGTCCAAAATGGCCTCGGCGAGGAAGCCAACATCATTGATTTTACGAAGGTTTGGGCACCATTTTGGCCTTCTGAGGGGGCGACTGTAATCCGTAGCCCCCCTTCTTTCATCGATCTCCTCCGAGATGGCCCCAAGAGCGCTCCCAAGGCTCCCAAAGGTGCCCCAAGAGGGCCCCAAGAGGTGGCCAGGAAGCTCCAAGAGGCCCCCAGGAGCCCTCCAGGAGGCCCCCAAGAGGGTCCCAAGAGACCTCCAAGAGACCTCCAAGAGGCCCCCAGAGGCCCCCCCGAGGCACCCAAGACGCTCCAAGAGGCCTCGGCGACAATGCCACAATCGCTGATTTTACAAAAGGTTTTGGCCACAATTTGGCCTCCTGGGGGGGGGGGGGAATTGCTTCAGATGGTTCCAAAAGCGCCTGGGAGAGCCAAAGATAATCTCCAAGATGGCTCAAGATATCCCAAGATGCCTCAAGATGGCGCCCACGATGCTCCAAGAGGCCCCAAGACCGCTCCAAGACAGCTCCAAGTGGCCAAATATCTCCCCCAGGAGGCCCCGAAGAGGCCAAAGTCCCTCCAAAACCTTAAGCAAATCGATGTGCTTGGCTGTCTCGCCGGGGCTCCAAGATGGTCCAAGAGGGCTCCAAGAGCGCTCCCAAGGCTCCCAAGAGCGCTTCAAAAGAGAGCCCCAAGAAACGTCCAGGAGGCCCCAGGAGGCCCCAACAGGCGCCCAAGAGGCCTCCAAAAGGCTCCCAAGAGACCCCTCGAAGGCCCCAAGAAGCTCTCCGAGGCACCCAAGACGCTTTAAGAGGCGTCCGGGACCGCCAAGAGGCCCACAAGACGCTCCAAGAAACCTCCACTGGGGGACACTTCCTCGGTGTGCTGCCCGCGTCCCTGATCGAGGCAATTCCTCAAGGCATCGTTTCTGGATGGGCTGGTGGGGGCTCTTTTTAGTCAGCGGCCGCGGGCAAGCGCGCCGGCGGCGAGTCGGGCCAAAGCGGGCTACGCAGAGACTGGCTAACGCAGAGACTGGCTAGGCAAAGGAAACACGGGAAAAAACAAACAGAGCAACGCGCGAAGCGACGGCTAAGCGCGGCCGAGGCCTCAGGTGGGCGGCAGAGGGGACTGAAACTGAGGGGAACTGCCAGCGCGCAAAACTGCAAGTCCGTCGGAGGCGCCAAACGTCGGAAAATCAAAGACGGCCCCGGACAACTCCGAGAGAGAAAACGTGAAACCGTACCTCAAACGACTGCGTGGGCACCAGGGTGGCCGGCGCCAACGAAACGCCGGTCGAGGTAGGAAAAAGAAATGCAAAGGCGAGGCCCGGGACGACGCGAAGCGCGAGAACCAGGGTGGTCCAAAGGACCGTCGGCCAAAGAATTGTTGCCAGGAGGCGAGAGCGCTGGCAGGCTGCAACTCCCACGGTGGCGGAAGCCGAAAGACCCCTGGCAGCAGTACGCACGAGTGCGGGGAAGCGGCATAGCCGCGACGCAAGCCAAAATGACGCGGGTCACCACGTACCTGTGCGAAAAAGGGTGTCAGAATTCAACGCGGGCCCGATGTAGGCACAACGCACGGGGCTGACATCAGGGATGACGAGCGCACGAGACCTCGAATGAGCGGAAGCCGACCAAGGACCATCCGCACGCTCGGAATGCTGGACAAAACGAAGCCAAGACGGCCGCTAGCCCAGGATGAGAAACCGCGATTTGAGCGGAAAAGGCCGAAGCCGGAGCGGTGGGGGGACAGCACCACCACGCGACGAGGCCAAAAATGAACCGCGAGTTGCGCGGAATGAAAGAAGCCGAGCGGAGACAGAACAGCCGCCGCCCGGCAAGGGGCCGAAGCCAGGCACCGCAGGGGGGGGGCGCCCCGACCCTGTGGGCCGCCTGGTGGCGCGGGACACGCGCCCCAGGGGCGAGAACAGCAACGGCCGGCCGAAGGCCGGTATTGGACAGGTGGACTGCTGCCCCAGCATCAACCAACAAGCCGGCTCGGAGCGAGCAGCCCGCCCACCCACCGAAGTGCCGCGGGACTCCCGGGGGGGGCAAGCCACGCAGGGCCGCAGTCCCCGCGACGGAATGGCGCGGAAGCGCAACACCAATGACGACAGACGAATGACGCCCCCCGGCCTTTTCTTTTTTTCACAGGAACGCTTCTGAAGGTTCGTTCGCTTTTGGGAAGGGTCCTGAAGGAGCACGTGCTACCTTCCCCCCTGC